CTTGTCTATTGTGAGCCGCCCGGAGTCCTTCGGGAGTGGGCGGCATACAAGACAAATAAAAACAAAAACAAAACAAAACAATTACCTCCACTAGCGCCAGCCTCCTGTGAAGCAGCTCCTTCACATGATGCTGATGCACCTCTCACATCTTCCTCTTGAGACTGGTTGTGTGCAGCTGCTGCCTGCAGGTTCTGTCTCCTCTGCCATATCTCTTCCGAGTCATCACCATCTGGCAGCCCATCTTCAAACAGCTGGCCTTCCTCTTGAGTGGTTGGTAAGTGCACTGCAGGTAAAAAGGCCTGAGTGCACACAGCGTCCTGAGTTTCTGGCTCACTCCTGGAAGCCTCTGCTGCACAGGCACCTTCTTCTTCCTCCTGTGAAGAAAAGGCCGGAGTCTCAGGAAAGCGATTGCTTTCAAGGGAAGAGCAGCAAGTGTCAACAGAGGAGAGTTGGGTAGCTGTGCCTTCATTGCAAGAGCCGTCAGCCCCCTCTATGTCACTTTCTCCCTCTGGCCTGGTGCTTGATTCACTAACACTCTCTGTATGAGCAGCATCACTTTGCTCGGTCTCTGATGAAATCTGGGAAGGTTCTGATCCTTGGTCAATAGATTCAGCTTCCCTGATTTCCCTTTTGCTCCCAGAAACTGACTCAGAAGTTCCAGGATCCGCACCAGACGTGGGTTGTTCTGCCTCCTGAGGTACAGAAATGGTATTGCTTGCTGAATCTTCTAGACAATCATCCTGAGAATTCTGAGGAGTTTCAGTTTCTTGTCCTGCTATCTCCAATTCAGCAGGCCCATTGGACATCTCCTCCTGACAACAGGAAGTTTGCGGAGGTATTTCTACATCGGGTGCCGTCACAATTTCTTCAGAGACTTGGCTTTGTGTTACTTGGCTTGAGGAGCCATTTAAGAAAACCGATTCATCATTTCTAGCAGTACCATTTAGCATGATCAAACCACCACCGTCATCATCCACTGATGACTGGAAACCCAAACTGTGATGGAATTCATGTTCCTCTTCGTCAGAATCAATGTGAAGCATAGCATTAAGTCGTGTGTCAGTAGGGAAGCTACTCTTCAATTTTGGGGATGCCCCAATAGTACGTTCATTACAAGCAGAGGTCCCAGATCTAGGAAGATTATTTTGTTCGATTGCATCTAGGTAGTCGTTCAAGGAGTCCTGGCGGCCCCTGGGAACTGAGGACCTCGACGTTGTAGAGGCTGAATCCTCTTGATCTGTTTCCGAAGTAGTACTAGTCCTAAAGGAATGCCGCAAGATGGCGTGTCCAGATGATTCTTCAAGAATTGGGCCATTTGAAAAAAGTGGATGTGTATCATGATGCCCTGCAGGTATATCCTCATCATCAGAAGGGCTTCCTAAGTCCCCATTGACAGAATTTACTCCAAGAAGGGTTCCTACAGTTTCTGGTGAAGCATCTACAATGAAAAGACAAAAGATTTATTAGTGAAACTAACTGTGAACCTTAAGGGGCATGCATAACAGAGGTGGGTTCCTACCAGTTCGCACCTATTCGGTAGAACCAGTTCATCAAATCTACCGA